GGTCATCGTCGTACTTGAGCGTGCTGAGGTTCATGAACATCGTCCGAGAGGCATTGGTGACATCTGTGACAAACACGGAGGGCACGCGCTCACCGTCGTACTCGTTGTTCTGCAGCTGTCGCAGCCCGTGCCAGTGTACGGTCGTCCCGTTGTCTGTGAGGCCGTTGGTGACATGCACGATCACCTGGTCGCCCCAGTCCGCTTCGATCAGGGGCCCGGGAAAGGTGCCGTTCCAGACCATCATGGGCCGGTCGACGCCGTCGGGTGCGAGGGTGACGTTCTGCGCGACCAACCAGTACTGCGAGGACTTGTCAGTCAGACTTCTTATCGCTCCGGGGTGACAGGCGCGCACTCACCTCCCGCAGGATATTCGTCTCCGGGGCCTGTGAGTAGTAGTCGCTGTCGATGGAGTGCGAGCCCCAGCAACGCCTCGAGGTCGGCCCGTTCTCGCAGCTTTCGCCTCGGACAATGGCAGCGGCTGCCAGGCAGCCTAGCAGCAGCCGCGCTTCTCGCACTCGACTCAGCAACATCGCTGCCGAGGACGAGGACACGTCGTACGAAGTCGCCTTGAAGTCGCCTAGCATACGGCGCTTTGCTCACAGCATCGATGGGTCGCCTGACGGCTACCTGGAACGGCCATTGTCAACGGTTATATACGCAACTGCGTCATCGCACGCCCGATTTCAAGTCGGCCAGACAAGAGTGTGCAGTCACGATCATCAGCCAAGTGCTTTACATGGCGATCGCAGGCGTTACCGAGTGTCATATGTGCGCCGTGACACTGGTCCATGTCCCTACCCGTTAAGGGCCATACGATGCAGCACGCAGCGCTGCGGGTTGAGAGGGGGAAAGGGGGCAAAGAGCCCGAGTGCTGCTGGCATGGGCCGGTGACACGGGCTTCTCGGTCGTCGTTACCTGGTCACAGAGATCGTTGATGCCGCATAAGCTGAGCATCCCCCCGCTCCATGGCACGACGGAAGCGTTCGACGAGCGCCTGCATGCTTGTCGCCCTCGCACGGCGATCAAGACGAGACAGCCATGCAGGACTCAGTGACCCTGAATCCCAGGGGCAGTGGACTCTCGGCAGCTGAAGGCACGCACACCCTTTCAGGGGATGGACCCCTGTCGCCACGTCCTCGCGAGAGCGTCGGCCCAGTCTCAAATCCGCCAGTGGTGATTAGATTGGGCTTCGCTAGCACACGTCGCAAAAGACAGGTGTCGTCGAGGCTATGAAATGGCGGCCACCACTTGCCAGCGCCCAGGCTCTTGCCATCGCCGACACCACGGACCCGCCCGATGTCTCAATCAGTGCATTCGCTGTGAAGCTGACAAACTGCCCTATCACGTTGGATACAGAGGTCCCCTGGAAGGGTGGTCGGTGTGCGGGCCCGTCAGCGCAAGCAGTGATGACAAGGACGCTGACACTGGACGTCGGAGGGGTCCCTGCCCTCGCCACGCCCCGGCCAGCGCACATCTGGCTTGGTCCGGTCCGAGCCAATGGCACCAGCGGCCCTGAGGGTGCCGGTCTGACAGTGACATAGCGAACCGACCCCTCTCTCAGCAGCTAAGGCGTGGGAAGACAACACATGACTCCCTTGCGCGCATGTGCTCTCATCCCAGGGTGCTGCCGCACGCCCGCCAGGCTCGTTCGCGATGGTCCGACCCCTGCGTGGTCAGCCAGGTCGTAGTCACCTGTGACTCGTGTAGCATGCGGTCATTAACCGTGCAATGCGACTGACCCCGACAGGCAATCGGAGTCCCCGGCCAAGCACCTGCAGAGGAGGAACGATGAGCCGTGCGCTTCCTTCTAGGCATATCGTGTCCCGAACCTGAACATGAATTCTGCTTGCGTCGCATGACCGACAGACAGCGTGAGGCCAAAAAGAAAGCCCGATGCGGGGGTCGAACCCGCAACCTTGAGATTTCAACTTCCAAATTGAGGCTGAGAATTAAGAGTCTCACGCTCTACCGATTGAGCTAACCGGGCTGATTTGAGTGGGGTTACAACTTGCCGGATATGGCCCGTGCGACATTGACGATGTCCAGCGATGCCCCTGAGCAACTCCAAGTGTCCTTGTGATGCCTCAGGCTGAACCCAAGAGCTGTCGACTGTCTGTTACGCAGGCATTGATATACAGAGGGATAGTCCGGCACCAGCGAGACGAGCTTGCTGAGCAAGTAGAGTCAGAAGGCCGGCTCCTTCTGATATGCTTGGTCTATCATTAAGGGCAGCAGCATGCCACGAAGCTTGCAAGGAGGTTGCGCAAAACGTCGGCTCTTTGAATCTAATTACACTGCGATACCAGAACGTGCTGAAGTGCTGGACCACTAGCTGGTGTAGATGGCGGCAACAGCCCACGGGGGCAAGTCAACGACGAACTCTCCCGAGGCCTTCCTCTCGACCGCCTTCGTCTGAGTCTGAACCTTGACGTCCAGCGGCTGGTTGCAGATCATGGGCCCGCGCTGCATGATGTCGTCCGACGCGACAATGTCCATGGTGGCATTGGCCGGGTTGCCGGGGATGTTGATGTTGGTGACGACGCGCTTGTCGCCGTAGTTGGCGAGCTTGACGATGTGCTTGTCGCCGGCCTTGGTGGCGGACCAGTACAGCGGGCCGAAGTCCGCGTCCGTCTGGACGGGCAGGGTCTCGTTGCCGGCGTGGGTGGAGAAGAGCTTCTGCACGTAGTACGAGATGGAGCCGGTCAGCTCGTTGGGCCCGTTGTCGTAGACGATCATGTTCGGCTGCCACTGGTTCATGTCGCGGTGCTCGAAGAAGGGCGCGAAGCAGGTCATCTCGATGCGGTCGCTGTTGCGCTCCATGGCGATCATGTACACGGCCTCGGCGCAGGCGCCCTGCATCGTGCTGAAGCGGGTGTGCGTGCCGTCGTTGTTGGTGGTGGACGCGTACTCGCCGACCATCAGGCGGCCCTCCCAGTTGTCGAACTCGTTGAAGTGCATGACCATGTCGTCCGGGGGCAGGTAGTGGTGCAGATCCTCGATGACATCGTCGGTCTTGTTCGGGTAGCACTTGGGGTCGAACTTGGGGACGGACGAGATGTAGGTGAGCTCGGGGTACTTGGCGTGCATCGCGTTGTACGCATCCTTGTAGCGGGACGGGTACTCCTCGCAACCCATCAGCCAGTCCTCATTGCCGACCTCGACGTACTGTAGTGGGAATGGGTCCTTGCGGCCGTTCTGCGCACGCAGCTTGCCCCACTTGGAGGTCTCCGCATCTGCGAGGATGTACTCCAGCTCATCAAGGACATCGTCGATGTACGGCTTCAGGGCGTCGCCTTCCAGCACCGGACCGCCGATGGTAGCACCGACCCACACGCCAAGGACAGGCTCCATGCCCATGTCCTCGCACCACTCAAAGTACTCATGCAGACCAAGTGCATCAGTGTTGCCATATCCCCAAGTGCCTTGGCGGCCGGGGCGGTTCTCGACGGGACCGATCGTCTCGTTCCACTTCCATCGGCTCTCAGGGGTGTTGCCCTCCATGTTGTTGCCGCCAGGGAAGCGGAGGAAGCGAGGGTGCAGCTCGTTGATGAAGTTGCCAACGTCCTCCCGGAGACCGTTCTTCCTGCCCTTGAACGTCGGCGGGAAGAGCTGCGGAAGGCCAAGGTGGATAGCCTGACCAGCAGCGACCTTCGGGTCGACGAGGAACTGCCACTCATTGTTGCCATCGGCGGCGGCCTCCGAAGTGAACGACGTCTCGTAGTATGTGAACTTGTCGCTGGTGCTGTCAACCTGCACCTGGTGGTCGGCATAGACCACCTGGCTGGCCTGACCAACGAGACGGACCGTGACAGGGCCCTTGTAGTTGCCCTTCATCCAGAAGTAGTTGTTGTACTTCTGCTCCTGCACGGGCATGCCATTGTAGCCCAGGTTGGCGGCACCGACGAGGTCGTCGTCGCAAGTGCTGGGGACCTTGATCTTGAGAGTCGACTTGATAGCGCTGGTCAGAGGCGTGCTCTTGTCCTCGGAGATCTTGGCTCCGTTGACTCCCTTCCAGGCCGTGAGGCCAGGGTTGTTGCCCTGAAAGCCATTGTTCATCAGGAGCTGTCCGTGAATGCCACCATCCCCTAGCGAGGAGTCCGGCGTTAGCGTCTAGCTGGGCTGGAGTGCTGGGCTTGAGAGCAGCTCACCGGAGTGGTTGATGTCCTCGAACATTATCCCCCACAGCAACGGGTGTGACTTGTTCCCACCATCAGGCTTGACATTGAGGTTGACCTCCTTGTCGGCGTATGGGAATGGTGCAGGCTGGCCAGCAACCCAGGCCAGGCCTTTCGGGAAGATGGTCTCCTCCGCACGTGGCTTAATGGCCACCCCCAGCGAGGTGCTGGCGAGTAGTAGTAGTGACACAAGTGATCTGACCGCCATTGGGATGAGGCCGAGATGCTGAAATCTGCATCGACGATAGATGCATCAACCATCCGTCATGGGCACGCATTCTCCTGCTTTTATAGCGCATTCTCGGATCACAGTCATCCTCGCTGATGTCTCCTGCGCTTGAGAGACTGATGCAGGCCCCCCTGGCATGACATACGAGTCGCTCGCATGCGGGGCACATCATGAGCAGGCCGCAATCTAGGCCCTGAAACGTCGCGCTGCCAATCCCCCAGAGATGCGAATGCGATTTCATCGGGGATCGCTTGGGATCGCTTAGAAGAATGTCTCAGAACAAGCGCAGTGCGGGGAAACAGTCCAGTGATGCGCGCGACCTGGCGTCGTTCTCATGAGAGGTCCAGCGTTCCAAACATCGCGGTCGTGATGCGCGGTGCGGAGACGCCTGGTGTCCGGTCGTGCAAGCTGTTCCCCTCCTGACCACTGGACTTGTAGTATGACTGGCGCTGGTGTTCAGCGATGGATCGCAATGGTTGGCTGACTCGCTCGCAACGCTTGCAATGCAAAGTCGCGTCATGAACAACCACGGCAGGTCGTCTGCACGTTGACTCGCCTGCAGGCCTGCAAAGTCGCAGCCTCAGGATACCTCCGAAGTACACACCACGAGCCACTTCTGCGGGGTAAGACCCGCTGGAATGGAAGCAGTGTGCCGAGCGGCTTGTCTGATCGTCATCGGCCGAGCGCCCATGCCGATGGAAGCGAGGACTCCGACGCTTGCATCTGCTCGAAGGCGGCAAATATGCTCGCGCCTCGTGACGCGCATGAGATGCAGCTCGGCAAAAGCCTGAAAAAATGGGGGTGGCGTGGTGGTAGAGTTCGCCGAGGCCGTGAGTATGCTGCGAGGGACTCGTTGCAAGGATGGGTGCTTTGATGCTTGAGAGCGTCCGACGGGCCTTCGTTCGAGCCAGCCATCATAGGACAGGCATATGTTGGCGTTTGCTGGCCACGAAGCACCTGCTGCTGCGACGTCTGAGGCCGTGCGTGGCGTCGCGACCGACTGAAGTCGGCTGATGTGAGACTGAGGTGTGAGAACGGGTAAATGCGAGCGATGATCTGCAACGTCTCACGCAGCTGATTTACCCGGCGTGGAGGTGGGGCGTCAACGGCTCCACGAACGGCCCCGTCGGTCATCATGGCAGCCGCACGTCTTCGTGTGACCGTGCTCATAGAAGCGAGCCGACACCCTGAGAGGCCTTTCTGGCGCCGTGCCGACGGCGACGGCGGCGCCGTCTAGCTTGCTATCATCCGTGGTCTGCCCAGCAACCCATCGGCGGGAAGAATGCCGTCCTCTGGACACTCGCGCACTCGGGAGATCGACCTCATGGGCCGTATCGGCCATTGGTGGAATCCAGCGGCGGCCGTTGAATCAAGAAGCGCTCGCCGTGGGCAGCGGACGCGCACCATGGAGAATACCTGGTCGCGACAGCGACGACTGCGCCGATCAGCCTCGCCCGGCCGGTGAGCGCGGGCATGTAACCCCAGTCCTTGGCAGCAGCGAGGGAGGTCCGCGCGAGCGGCACCGTTGCCCGTGCTCGCCTACCCGCGGCCAATCTTGAGCTGCGCCCTTCACCGGCTCACCGGCTCGCTGGGTCGCTGGCCGAGCGAGTCATGCTGTGTCTTTGGCCTCTTCCTGAGGCCATGCCTCGCGCGGCCGCCACGCTCATTGACACGGCCCAGACGTGGGTGGCTCAACTGACGAGCGGCTGGCCGGCGCGCGTCTCGCCGTTTGATGCCCCCGTGACCCCGACGGGCTCAACCCCCAGCGAGACTACCTGACACCCGCTTCCAGGACGACGGAAGGCCGTCGTGATCAGCCATTGCACGATATCGCCGGTTGATGAGGTCGAGGTGAGGTGCGTGAGCGGAGCCGCAGCCGCAGCCGCAGCCGACGGTCAAGCGTTGCGGTGTCTCTGTCTCGGCGTTAGCGCTTACCGCGGCTACCGGCATCAGACTCGGCCTGCGTTTCGTCTCGCGTGGCGAGTCACCGCTCAAGAGGCGGCATGAAGCACGCCAGTGATGCAGACAGTGCAGACACGGACACTGACACTGACACGGACACGTCTGCGCGTGGGCGGACGCAGGCCACCCTCCACCCTTCTGACCCTTTTGTACGTGTGCTGCGCGATTGCTAGGCTGCGCGGCCGCGCGACCACGGGCCAAAGTCGCAGCGAGGCCCTTGCGGGGCTGAGACACCGAGACGACGCCATGGCAGTGTGAGTTCTGGCCAAGCAGGGCCGCGGCACGGTGTGATGGTGGTGTGGTGTGACGCGCGAGCTAACCGCAAGATGTAACGCACACAGCAAAGCCACCCTCCTCCTGGTGCTCGCGCCCTTGATCTACCGCCAGACGCTGCGGCTGATCGCGGCCGGGCGCCGCTGGCTGCGCGAGCGGCCGAGCCCGCGCCCCCTGCCCGCCGCCGCGCGCCGCGGCATCAACCTGCTGTTCTGGACGGCGCTCGCGAGCCTCGTGCTGAGCATCCCGTCGCACCGCCTGGGCACCTCCGCGCCGAACCTGTTCCAGCAGACCCCTGCAAGTCCGTCTTGGTGGGCAGCACGGCAGGGTCAGGGATCTGAAGGTCGG